AGTTTTATTATTTGAAACATCTCTGACACTGAAATATGGTAATCAGTTATTAAAAATTATATACTTTTACGTATTTAAATTTTCCCAGTGGTATAAATTTTTTAAATGCATGCTAAATGTTACATGAAAAAATAAAGCCATAAAACTATAAAGATCTATTACAATTTGAACTTTAATGAACTTTTTTTCTTATACAAATCATTACTATCCAAACACTAAGGTCCTTATTATAAACAAAGTTACATGTTGCTACAAGTCTAAATTTGCTTAATGGAACATTTGCATTTTTTTAATAATGCACCAGTTCAAGTTAAACAATGGTAGTGAAATAACAGTGCACTTTGTATGCAGAGTAGGCTTCTTACAACCCTTTCTGTGCTCTAATTTATTTGGCTGCAATATTCTTAAAATGAGCTAAATTTATCCTTTTCTAATGAAAAATTCAAATAGAACTATGAGTAGATAAGCCTTTCATTCTCATAAATTTCTCAGTTCTACAAGGGAAGTATTTTGATAAAAGGTATAGTTCATATTTAATCTGTAGTTGTAATTTGTAAATCTTTGTGGTTTATGTTAAGTGCTTACATCAAGCATAAATTTGCCTCTTCAGCTCCCACTCATTGCTCCCAGTTTGACCATCAGAGGTAAAGCAGAACAAGTAGAATACTGCTCCCATATGATGGGCACCCTATATCATCTCATGACTAATTTACACTAAAAGTTGTCCCTCAACTCAAAGTAAAACTTCACTTTAATTTCCTTAGGCATCCATTTTTTAGGGTTTCAAGTAACAAATTGTTTTTTTGGTCCAGACCTGACCTTATTTTACTGGTCTAAGTGAACTCACTGCAATGAAACTCCCTCAACCAATGGAAATCAGCATTATACCAAGCTATTTTTAATACAGATTACCTGTTTATTAGCATCATCTCCACAAGATCAAAGCCATTTAGTATATAATTTATAACCCAATCTGCCCCCGCCCCCACCAACATACAACCACACTTGTCACATAGCTAGTTTAGTTAAAAAGGGTATATAGTTAAACAAATTTACATTTAAGGAGCATCTTTGTAACTTGAAAGTCTTACACTACCGGTTCTTTTCTTCATTTAGGGGCTGCTGTATTTTGCATAGCTCCAAATGCAGTGTTTCCATTTGAACTCTGTGGCGAAGAACATTTAGAACAAAGAGATGCTTATCTAATTCAGTGCCAACAACAGCTTCAAGAGTTTATTGCAGCTTATGGACCAGGATCAGTTACTGCTACAAGTGAAGAATAATCCTGTTTGGTACAAGTATTTTTGGCTTGTGGACTCTCACTGGGGGGAAAAAACTATAGTGGTACTGTTTATACTTATAGTGAAAAATGTATAATAAAAAAAGATTTAACACATGTCCAACTTTGGGAACAAAGTAAAAACTGCATTTCAAACCTCTAAAAATGCAGAGTTGACCAAATCCTAGTTCTAATGAAGGAGACCAAAAGATGGCATGGTATGACAAGAAAATTACAATTGGCAAGTCTAGGAATAAACTATTGCCACACATAACCTTGCAAGAGAAACATTTCTGGATCATATGTCACAGCAGAGAATAAAAGGGATGAAAATACAAAATTAGTAGTGGTTAATTCTGTGAAATGTTGTCAGGTTTTAAAAGTTGTAATTTAGGGTGTCTGCCACAAGATGGAAACATTTAAATAGTGAAATAACTGTACTTTATATTTACGTGTATCTCAAATTTACTTTTCAAAACTGATGACAGGGCACAAATTCATGAAGCTTCAAATTTATAGAATTTTCAGGCATTACGGTTAGCTGGGGCACCAAACAAATGGATTAAGTTCTTAGTTCTAGTTAGTCGATTAAAGCCTCAAAAACTATTCAATCTGTAGAGGAACCAGTTAAGATAACGTCCTTTTAAAACACATGGGCATATAACAAAGCTTAATTTTCACATTTACTAAAAGGGCCTTCAAATGACTAATTGACTTAGAATCTAATTATGATTCCATTTAGAAAAATTAAGCCAAATTATGGTATCCTTTTGCCCTTATTTCCTGTGATCCTTGACCTGATATTTCATATTGCAGAGATCTTCATGGCTTCAAAGGCTGGTCTTCTATGCAGTTAATATCCCTTCATTCTGATTAAAAACAAAACTGGGCTGCATACAGAACATTCCATACCATTCTTCAAGGTCAGGAATATATAAAACTATTCAGACTTTTATGTTTGAGAGCAAATCTAAATTCATTCTCAACTCAACCACTGATCTTGAAATGACATGAGACTAGTCACTGAGAATCGTGTTTGCTCTTATGTGATAACTTAGTACAGCTTTGCAAAGTATTCCTTTTGTAGTCTGCATTTTGTACTTCATTATGTAAACTTTTGTAAATTTGATTTCCAGATTATTCAATAAAAGATTACTTCTGTATAAATGTCTTAAGGTTTCCTTTTCTTTTTTTTTGGCTAGGCAATGGGGTTAAGTGACTTGCCCACAGTCACACAGCTAGTTCTGTGTCTGAGGCCACATTTGAACTCAGGTCCTGACTCGAGGGCCAGTGCTCTATCCACTGAACCGCCTAGCAGCCCCAAAGTTTCCTTTTCTCAGTTATCAACTAGGGGGCTTCAGGAAACAACTATTTCTTGAATGCCTGACTACTGAAGCTAGAGAATAATTGCAGCATATTAATATGCAAACTCTATTCTGGGGTCTTCTACAGAAAATAGGAATGTCAAAGTTGACTTCAGTTGAAATAAGCATCATTTTTTGGAGGTTAAAGTTGCATGCCACACCCAATATGGGAAAAGGGAGGAGTAAAAGTAATGAGTTGGGTACAAATGAAATCTTGACTTGTAGTCAACTCAACTTGCTTCAGAAGTCAGTTCCCACAGAATTATTAAATAGTTCCCCAACTACAACCTGAAATCTCTATCACCCTCCTTTTCACATTGCTCAAATTCTTGAAACAAAATAGTTAAGCCCAATATCTTGCCTTTGAAGTACTACACAAAGCATTACAGGGCAAAAAGGAGGCTGTCAAAACATTCAAGTTTTAAGGAGTAAACTCAATTACATGTCCATATAGGAAGGTTTTGTGAAGAGTCGACATTTGCTCAATTCGAAACACATTTGAGGTACCTGCTACTTGCAACACACTGGGGATAAACATACAAAAAATACCGGTCTACAACGAAAACTACTAGGTAGGCAAGGGCACAACATTTATAGATAAAGCCATTAACACCTCAGAGGATCAGGAAAGTTTTTCTATGAGTTAGCAACTTACTAAAACCTTAAAAGAAACTAAACACCAACTTAAGCAGTATTCTATAGGCAAACGGTTGACTGCATAAAATGATGGTGAGATAAAACAATTTTTGAGCAACAGACCCTATGATCTGATGGCTGTGTGGATGAATCAGAGAAGGCAGACACTACCATGGCACTCTCCTGGTTAAAAGTGTTGTGCCCAAATCATGGTGTAGCTTAACAGAAGGAGATGATCATTACATATGCTAAAGTGGAGTAGCCGTCATAAGTCAATAAAAAAGTGAACAAAGTAGTTCTTGGCTATAATCTCAAAAATGACTATTTGTACAAATCCAAGGCAAACCCTTCAACATTAGCTTAAGTCTAAGCTCTAACCACTGATGTTTAAGATGCCAAAGTTAAATCAGTTCTACAAAGATCCACATCTAGAAACATCACCAAAAGGATGTCATATTCATCATAAAGCACTGGAATGCTAAGGTAGGAAATCAAAAGATAATTGGAGTAACAGGCAAGTTTGGCTTTGGAATACAAAAGGAAAGCAGGGCAGAGACTAAGAGTTTTGTCAAGATAACTTGGTGGTCATGGCAAATACTCTTCAACAACCCAAAAGGTAACATGGACAAACATCACCAGACGGTCAATATAGAAATCAGGTCAATTACATACATTGCAACAAAGATGAAGCTCTATACAGTCAATTTAAACAAGCCCTGGCTGGACCAGAGTGTGGCTCAGATCATGAGCTTCCTATTGCAAAATCACACTGAAAGTAGAGAAACTCATCAGGCCAATAAGTATGATTTAACTAATATTCCTTATGAATACAAGTAAAGGTGATGAATACATGTATGGGATTAGATCTGATAGTGCCTAAAGAAGGGGCAGGTTTGCAGCAGGAAGCAGTTAACAACAACAACAACAAAAAATGCCCCAAAGAAAGGGAACAAGAAAGCAAATAGTAAAGGAGAAAGGTTACTGATCTGGAGACATCCTAGAGATGAAATCACGTGGGCCTCAGGGAAGCTTTGCTAATAAGGCTAATGGAGGCGGTGGAATTTAAAATCGTAGAAATTGCTGTTTAAAGTGTACTCAACATGCCAGCAAATTTGGAAGACAGTGGCCACTGGTTTGGTAAAGATCATTTTATATCCCAATCCTAAAGGACAATGCCAAACAATGTTCAAGCTGCCAAATGACTGCAGTCATTTCACATGTTAGCAAGATTATGCTTATGATTTTTTTTAAATTTATAAAACAAGCATTTCCCTAACAATACAATAAGATGATTGCACATGAAACCACAAATTCTCTATGTACAACTTGCTATTTCTTTTAAATATACAACAAAACTATTTTGCAAATTCCCTCCCCAACCCAGATAGCTACCATTAGATACTTATATATGTAAAATCATTCTATATAATTCTATCCAGTTCTTTCTTTGTACAGGCTAGTTTTTAAAGAGGCAGAGAAGAACTAGACAAATACCAAATTGCCAACATTCCCTGGATTATGGAGAAAACAAGAGAGTTTCAGAAAAGCACGTACTTCTGCTTCATTGACTACACTAAACACTTTGACTGTGTGGATCATAACGTCTAATACCAGATCATATTATTTGTCCTCCTGAGGAACTCTGTGTGTGTTAATAAGCAAAAGTTAGAACTGCATGGAACAACTGACTGGTTTATGACTGGTAAAGGAGTACAACAAGGTTGTATACTGTCACTTTATTTAACTGATATGCAGAATACATCAAATGAAATGCCAGGCTGGACAAATGAAACTCAGAATCAAGATTTCAGGGAGATCGTCAATCTCAGATATGCAGACAATAACATTGATGGCAGAAAGTTAAGAATTAAGAAGGCTCTGGATGAGGATGAAAGAGCAGAGTGCAAAAGCTGGCTTGAGGTTTAACACTAAAAAGACCCTGATGTTAGGAAAGATTAAAGAGAAGGGGACAGCAGAGGATGAGATGGATAGTTTCATGAAAGCAACAACCATGACCTTGGACAGTCTGGGAAAGAGTGGACTGAAGGACAACAATAGTGTAGCAGATTGAAGATAAAACTTTAGTTTCTTGGTCTTCTACTTCCCACTGCATCACTGCTGCTACCTATCTTCATCAAGAGCTGGAAAAGTCTGTGGAGGAAATATTAAATTGGCAATGAATTCTGTAGTAGAAACATTTTTTTCAATTTTAAATAAATTTGTCATAAAAAGATTTCAATTTCAAACTGAAAGGAAGGTATGTCAATTACTATGTTAAAGCAGGGACAAAAGTTACAATAACCGAACAGTTAGTGAAAACGATGGAGCATCTTGTTTGAGGAACACCAAGAAGGAAGGTGTTGTTGGATTACAGAGTTATTTGGAAGGCTATACTAAACAAAGGATTTATAGTTGATCCTAGAGGTGACAGGAGACAAGGGAGTTTGAATGGGATGAGGAGCCACCTAAAGATGGTAATGGTGTCTAGTCTGCTCCCTAACTCTCCCCATTACTTCACCTTCTACCAACCTCCTGCCTCTTAGGCCTGTCTGAAAGGAACCCTCTTTCCCTACTTATATCAGGTGGAACCCCCATGATCAACAAAAACTTCTTAAACAAAAGGGAAAGGACCTAAAAATTGTTAACTATAGGTGTGTGAAACCAACCTACCAGTAAATCTGTATTCACACTGGCAAAGAATTGTCTGGTTATTGAAGGTTTTATGGGCTTCTTAAAAAAAAAAATCTGGGCAAGTGGGATATAAGATAAACACTAAACAGACAGCAGATGGTGTTACTGTTCAAGCTTTTGTTGGGATTAAGATTTAGAAGTCACCAAAATATTCAGTAGGGTAAATGGCAAAAATCTGTTAAAAATCATTAAACCAACAAAGTTCCTTCTTTGAAATATCAATGATTCTATTAATGTTTAAGGTTCACATTCAAAATTACCTTTGAATTCATGCAAATGTACACCAAAATTATGAAGTGTTGTTGATACAGATTCCAGATCTATTCACTGGCACAAAGCTTCAGAAATAACCTGCTAGAATAAAAATTACTTTGGCCAACACTCCATATACTATAGCTTTTATAGCCCTTTCTGCTAATTATGACAAATTCACATAGGTCTATAGCTGAAATGGACCAGTACAACCTCTTTTTATAAATGAGGAAATACGCCCAGAGATTTAGTTTGTTCTGTTGCATTTAATTATCTAAAACACTCATTTAAGTCCATATGCATGAATTTACCTTACAACAAGGATAACTGTATAAGTATTATATCCATTTAAAAGACAAGGAAAAGACAGGTAAATCAACTTGTCCAAGGTAAGATATAAATCCACTATACCACATTGTGGCAACATCTACTTACCAAGTGCCTACTACAGTGAAGACAACTTTTGCCCTGCACATGATATACATAATCTCAAGCTCCAAATTCATAACTGTCTTTTAATATCAACAGACTGAACTACTTTGGCTTACCTGCTAAAACAAAACAATTTGAAATCTTGTCAAGGTATATAGATCTGAATATCCATCCACAACCACCTATAAAGTCTCAGGGAAGAAAAAACACAAATTTTAATTTAAAATCTATTTCAGCTATTTACATAAAGTAAAAAATATAAAGTTACTAGTAGCTCAGCCTTACATCCTACACTAAAATCAAAGAATAATGGTAATCCAACTTACTATTGGTTATCTTCATAGCTCATACGTGACTTTTGGGCTAATACTTCATTTTAACTTTTTGAAAAAGCATTTTCGTATCTTCAAAAATTATAGTTTTATATCTTCAGAAAGTTTGAATGCTTTTCACCTAGAAGTTCAAACAGATTCTTATAAATTTTGTATGTTCTAACTCCTCTATAGAAGACCTATGAAGTCTTAAAAGGCTAAACCAAGCAGTTTGTGGATCCCCTAGATGCAAATTATCAAAAGTGTGAGCAGGGAAATGACATATGTATCCTGAGATCACTCTGGTCACTGCGAAAGATAGACTAAAGAGAAACGACTGGTGTAGGGAGAGATCGATGAGGAGAACATTTTAAGAGTCGTAACTTCAGCCCAAGGAATATGAGGATTAAGTTGAATGAAACGAATGTTTACACCAGAAGGCTCCTGAAGACAACTGTCCCCAAGGATGCGTTACATAATATTAATGGCTATGGTGCTCAAAAGCCTGAAGTTCTGTTAATTCACTGCTTGTGCAGTCTTGATCTCTCTGAGCTTCAGTCTTAAAGTCAAGTGACTTCCCAATGTAAGAGGCACTAGGTAAGATCTGAACTCCTACTGTATCACCTTTTTATTGCTTCTCTAAGGCTTGATATGTCAGGAAAAACCTTCCTAACAAATAAAAATTGTAAGTAGAATGGGCTGACCCACAGTAGGGTCCCCCTCATTAGAGGTCCTTGCAGTCAGGCATGGGTTGGAAAACTCAAATTCTTTGTATGTAGTAGGAAATTAATACTTGTTAGTATATAGACTTAAATCTGTTTCTTATACCTTCTGGCTACTATATAAATTATCCCAAATTAAGAAAAAAAAATTCCTGCTGGATTTTTGGCTTACAGTATCTAAATTACTATTAACCATGGCCTGTTGTCAACAAAAAAATTCTGAGTATCTGAAATATGAGAATGTATAGGCAAATGCAAGACAACTGTAATTACCTGAATAGGTTTAATAGTATTCAGCATTTTTGGTTCAGATCCCCCCGGAGCAAGATCTCTTCATTTCCTTAAAGAAAAAAAAAAATACCATTTTTAAAGTCTGAATTTCTTTGGATTGATAAGTTTACTCAAAAGTAATCATATGGCACATCAGATTTCAAGTTACTTCAAGGAAGCCCTCAGTTAGGTAAACGGCTTTTTTTTTTTTTTTTTTTGTAAACTCATCATTATGCCAAATGAACGCCTGAAGATTCAGTCTTATTTGTTCCAGAACCAAGAAGGGCAATTATACAACTTTAATTACCTGAATAGGTTTAACAGTATTCACCATTTTTAGTTCAGATCCTCCCTGGGCAAGATCTCTTCATTTCCTTAAAGAAAAAAAATTAGCATTTTAAAGTTTGAATTTTCTTGGATTGATAAGTTTACTCAAAGTAATCATATGGCACATCAGATATCAAGTTACTTCAAGGAAGCCCTCAGTTGGGTAAACGGCTTTTTTTT